ATGCGCGAATACGCCGATCGCAGCCTCTTCGAACGTAAAACCGACCGATTTTGTCATGGAAGAGCTATTACTTTTTTGGGCGTGAAAAACCTCAGAGGATACGAAAGCGAACGCGACGCAACGACCAAGCTAAGCGGCGCGAGGATCCGTGCCGCTGGAGCTGTGACACTATCAGTGAGACCGCCTATATGTAGTTCTAATCTCCAGCTTCGAACCTTTTAAGAATTTTGTAAAGGCAGTTTACGTTGATAAATTGTTAGACAGATTGTGTGATGTTCCTGACTGTTTCGTTTTGTTATATACCACATTTTCAAAGACTATAACGGCGGTAATGAGTCTTGTCGCGTGCATTACCTACCAGGCAACCAATCTCTTCATTTACATTTTTCAATGGCGCATTCTTTCAGAATGTCGAAGCGGTGATCACAGAAGACAACGTGCAGCTCGTAGTTTGCGATAGTCCAGGAACGATAGGATTGCGGCACGCGAAAGCAACCATGGGTCGCAGCCAAGATGATATTATCCTTCCCGGTCCAGAAACAGCACTCCAACGAGCCGAGCACATTCTTGTTGTACAGGTAGTATACGGCGTTTTTGTTTTTGAAGTGTTGAAACTCTCTTCTAGGACGCTACAGCTCCAGGAGACTATATACATCATCGCGTAATGCATTTGCTTCATCGGCATTCGCACATACCTTCATCGCTTGTGATCAACAAAGTCGATCTTGTGTCACAACGTAGCGATTTGCTTGAACTTACTCGCATACTTACGAATGGGCGAGTAGGTGGAGTACCTATCAAAACGGACAGAAAAGTGGTAAGCTGCATTTCTTTTATCTGTTCTACAGTTTTGAAGTTGCTACGATGTCATTTCTTATTTTCTGGTAATCGCTGCTCCAACCATTCTTGCCTTTGTTACCGATTCTTTGCTTAAAGGCAGCGTCCCCTGAAAGTGGGGTCTACCTAGGTCTCACTGCGTTGTGATAATAGGCCTCCAGATTAAGCGAACAGTGAATTCCGCAGCAAAAAAGCATGCCTGGGTGGCCTAAAACTAGTCTTCCGCACCCCACCCCTTTCCAGGCTCCCCTCACCGTGACACCCCAAGCCTGAGGGTTTCTTCATGCCTCCACAACCTGTGGCAGGGTGTCGCAGCTGCGACGTAGCATGAAGGAACCCTTAGGCTTAGTGTTCAGTTAGGCATTGGGCGGAACCTGGAAAGGGGCGGGGTCCGGAAGACTTTC